CCAGATTAAGGAACTTTTTTGATTGCGAATGGCTGGAATCGCTGGACAAATATTTTGAAGCCCCTGCTTCCGCGATCAGGATAAAATAACCGGGTTCAAAAATGAACTAACGAATGTAAAATGCTACAGGTTCTGGACAATATCAACAGACCACAGATTGGGAATGGCTATTGCACACGACTGTGTTCTATCTACACTGCGGCCACAACACCTATTTTTAAAAATTCGAAGATTTTTACGGCTATCTTTGATGGTGATGGATTCGAGGGGACTTTTCAATAAGTTGAAGTAGTGAATCTGCTCCCTAATTCTTCTCATTTAAACATCAGTTTCACATCTGAAACGTCACTGTTGTCTGCTAACGTTTAACAGCCGCAAAAATGTCATAAGCGTTCAGTTTCACAAAACAGTAAGGCACAAGGTATTGCAAATACTGAAAATCAGTTATACAGTCAAAATTTATTACGGAAATCGTTTGACCAAGCAAGTTATGGATTCTGGAAATAAAACAACGATGAATAAAATTAACAGAGAACAAAATGGAATCCAGTAATCTTCAACGAATGATGCGACAGAGAACTTGACGGCATCAATTCCTAAAGATTAGCTATCAAGTGAGTGGATCACAGTAAAACCACAGTCGACGTCATTTCCGACTTGAAATTTTTCTCCTCATTTTCTGCTCCTTCTGATACTCGTTCAGATCTTCCAAAAGTGCCAGTTTCGCACTGCGCGCTTCTTCCTTGCATATTTGCTTAAAATTCGACTCCATGCATAGGTCGTCAGAGTCGTCTACGTATTTGTACTTGCTTCTGTCGTAGCCCAACGTCATCTTTATCTGATTACTGATAAACTCTTCATCTTCCTCGCCAATTGGTGTATCATCGATGAAGTCATCCATCTCACTGTCGTATGAGTCGTCGCTTTCGTCTTCTACCGGCTCCGCGCCGCACATCTGGCGATACTTCCTTATGAACTCCCGTCGCAGCTCCAACTCTCGCAGGCTCAGTTCACTCGTGGATCGTTTATCTGCGGAACGCCCATCAATTCGCATAAGCTTAGACGCGGTGGGGACGTTTGGATATTTTGTATACGACATGGGTAACGCTTTGCGCTTTTTTAAGCTTCTCGGCTTGCCGACATCGACTGCTTTTGGGGTCGTAACTGGCTGTAACGGAAGAATGTTCTTCGTCGGAAACGTTCGGTC